CAGCGCCCAGCGCAGCAGCGGCAGCAGCAGCAGCAGCAGCAGCAGCATACCCAACGCCGCGGCAGCAGCAGCCGCAGCAGACCACCCAGCGCCAGCAGCAGCAGCAGCAGACGACCCGGCGCCTGCAGAGCACCCAGCGCAGCAGCGCCCAGCGCAGCAGCGGCAGCAGCAGCAGCAGCACCAGCAGCAGACCACCGGAAGCCCGGCTAGCTTTCGTTCACCCCCTCTGGCCTCAAGTTAAAGCGAAAGCAACAGGTACAACATGAACTCTTATCGCGATCTTTTACTTGCACACTTCTTGCTAGCACAATGGGGGTTCGTGGGCAGGGTGTTGCAGATTTGTATGAATGCGTTGCTTTTATGCCCTGTGCCTTGCAGGAAAGACGTCACTACTCGAACCACTTTCCGAGCACAGTCCTCAGCCATGTTGTGGTGACTTCAGCATAAAATCTGAGAGTGACACGGTGTGACGCTTTCTCCTCAAAAACACGGCTCAAATCAGTTCAAGTTGCGAGATTCCTGACACGTTGGACGGACCAAGAGTCGGACCCATCCGTGCCGGGAGGACCATCGCCATGAGCGGCCTGCGAGCGCCGCCCGGCTCCGGCTCCGGCGGCTCGAGGAGCTCTAGCCGTGGGCGCATGGGCCAGACCACAGCGGCCACCGTGGGTCGGGCCATGGTGGGAGCCAAGAGAGGGGAGCTTCCCCTCCGCAGAGCGGGGAATCCAAATGACCGCTTGGAAGAGCTGCTAGGGAAGGCGGTTGGAAGAATGCCGAACATTGCCTCGTTTGTCGTTGGTTCATGTGTGTGGAATTTTATTCCTCTGAATGCAGGCCATTCACGCAATCAGCCCCTGGAAGGCCATGCCAAGCAAACCCAAGTTGAACGGCTACTCTGTCACTCAGACCACGAACCATGGGCTAGACTTTGATGAGGAGGCTCGGTCATTTTCAACATTCGGACAGGTTGACATATTATGTTGACATCACTTAGTCATGCCCCGACCATTCGTTTGAAGGCCAAGAAGCTCTGGGCACGGCTGAACTTGGACCCTTCAGTCATCTCGAGTGGGCCATACAATGCTATGGATGCCCTCTGGCAGCATCCCGAGTCGCGGGCAGTCTTCTATGTTGGCAATCAAACCGCAGCTTCAAACCTGGCATTGCTTCGTCAAAACGGTGTGACGCATGTCGTGAACTGTACTGACAACATGCCCAACTACCACGAGAACACGTCGGGCAGTTTGATCAAGTACTACAGATTCGACATCTCCCGCTTCCACCGGCTGGTCAGATCGGATGCTGATGCTGCACGCTTTGTTCAGCCAATGCTGGAATGGGTCGGTGCCGAAGCTTGCTTCTTTCGTACGGTTTATTTGCTATCAGGTTCTTTCATCCCATACCTGCCGGCTCCTCCAAGAAAACGTGGGGTCTAGTCTATCCGAGGTGCTGCTTTGGCCAGCGGGGAGAACGTCATGGTTCATTGTTTAGCCGGTGCACATCGTGCCGGAACCACTGGCGACTTGCCGGAACTGGGGCGAAGGTCGAACCGCGGGGCGGCGGTCGGTCTGAACACTTCAGAGTGCACATAGGCTGCATGCCCACATCTGAGGCTGCATTTGCTTGATGCACTTTGCAGGGCTTAGCGCCAAAGAAGCAGTTCCAGCTGCAGCTTTTCTCATGTTAAGTTGATTGAGTTGGATTGTTGGGGTTTCATGCGGCATGTTCAGCCACCGGACGCCATTTTTCTCCTGGCATCTGAGGCAAAGCGCTGTCGTCCAATCATAGATCCCATCGGTGATTTTCCAGATTCTCAGCTTGACCCCGCTCAGCTTGGGCCAACATGTCGTAACATGTCTTGACCCCTTAGTTTTGGGTGCGATCGGGAATTGGCCTTGTGTGGGGAAGAGCTCGTGTGATGTTTTTGTCGTGAAGAATGGTCAGTGAGTCCTGTGTGAGGAACTCCTAGCTAAGTTGGAGCGCAGCTGGAGAAGAAAGTCTGAACCTGCTATTTTTGGTGCTTGACGGCTGCGGTTTGCTTTGCTTCGGGCACACTGCATGCGGGCTCCGCATGCGTGGCATGTTGTTACTTTTTTGGTTGGGTTATGTTGGAATGAAGATGAGCAATGGGCCACCCATATGTCGCTCAATTGTGACGTTATTTCCCGCATGTGATGTGGAGAGCTGCATGGTGCCGTGACTTGATCGAAGGGAACCATGATGTACAGAGATGCAAAATGGTACCCAACCTAGCTCGAGAAGCCCTACAGCTGTGGGGGGCCACTGCAAGCCAATGTGCTGTTCCAGGTATCTTCTCTGGGCAGGACAACGTCATCTGATGTCATATGTGTACATTTATTGGTCAGAGATGAGAATTGTAATGAGGTGTGCATAGATCTGTTCATCGCTGATACATAATCTAATGTAATCTAATAAAATATACATGATATCAAGCGACGACATCAAACGTACAACTCCTCCCAGCCCATGACAACCAGGAACTCTGCCTTGCAGACCTTTTCTGAACTGGTGCACCGGAATGCAAGCGTAGAAAAAGGCAGGTCAAAGCCTCCAGCACTTCTCGAAGGGCAGCTGCTTCACACACAAGTACACTCCCTGAAATCATCATGGTTACGTGGAAGTGGATGGCGCCCCGAAAGGATGACGTTCCAAATACCAAACAGGTGAACACCTCACTCCACGTCTGTGATTGCTTCACGGAGTGTCGAAACATGTCACAGCAATTCGTAAGTTAGCCATGTCCAGTCGTGGGGGTGCACCCCCACTCGGAGCCACTTTCGGACTTGACACTCGGTGGACGTGTGCGGTGGCCGCGCTCGCTGCTCGCACCGAACGCTGCCGAATTGGAGATGGCCGAACGGCCGAACGCATGGCTGGCTGGCGATCTCCACCAGGAAAACAGAATAAGGTAGACACATTCCAAATCAAGAACCCGAGAGCCCTGCCGTTTTGAGTATCCTTTTTGAGTACCACGGGTTGAGGAACTTGGAGACTCCAGCCCGTATGGGGGCGTAGGGAGTTTCAGAGCCATGCAGACGTGTATACTTTGACAGGCGGCACCACAACTGCACCACAGCAAGCTCGCCAAAACACGCCCGCCTGCCGCCATACCGAGGCTTCGGACCTGCCGCTGAGCTCGTATGTCGGAGCTCATGGAGGGAAAAGGCAATGCTTAGACAACAAAAAGAGGGAAGACCTGGGCGCATGGGCGCATGGGTTGGAGAAGATTTGGGTGTGGAAACTGGAGCATATATGTGTGTGGATTTTCCTTGTTCTGCATGCATTATGCCGTGGGAATTGTCACCTCAAGCGTAGCGGCGATTCACATGAATGGAGCATCACTTAAGCCAACGTTGGCCCGTGCATTTGCAAACAAACGCAAAAAGTCACCTGCTCCTGAGAGGTTTTGGATAGTTATTTTTGGGGCGGGACAACTCTTCCAACCAAACAGCAATCAGAAAGAAATTGGCTAGTTAAATAAGACACATAGTTTTTGGCTGCCAAGCAGCTCTCTTGCGTGGTCAATCATGGCTGGGCCCTCAGTTCTTAGTGTTTCTGCAGCCCTCTTCACCGGCGACACTGCAATGGATGCAGGCTGATCAATCCAAAATGTACCGCTGGGATGGGTCGTTTGACTTCAAACGGCGGGAGGACTGGGATTACAAGTGCCCAACTCAGAAAGGCAAGTCATGCACACTGATGGAAAAGGTTTGAAAGATCTGGAAAGGGGCATTGCTACTAGTGTGCCTTGCTACTAGTAACGTCCTTGCTGCTAGTAGCGAGTAGCTTCTTGCTACTAGTCATGCCAAGTGTCCCACCATGTCCCACCTGTTGGGACTTGCGCCTTCTTTGGAGGCATTCGTACAGCTTCATGGCCGGATGGTCGTGCCTGTTTGATTATGGAGTTTCTCCATGCTCGGAAGGTGGGATGAACTGGATTTGCTTTGCCAGGCTAGGTCAAGATGAGGCCAAGGAAGCGCAGCGTCGAAAGAAGAAGCGTGGGTCTCGGCATTCCAACCAATGATTTCACGTGGAGCTATGATTGCGACTCAGGATAGGGACGGTAGATGAACAAGCACCACCGCTTCCAAAGGACATCAGTGGAGGTATGATTCCACCAGAGGGCAGCCATGGACATGACATGACATGTCCAGGACAATAGCTTGGTCGAAACAATCGAGAAGACTGCGAAGCACGTGCACAGGCAAGAACGGCTGAAGAAAAGTTGACACAAGTCAGCAGTGTGGACATCAAATGACATCAACTGCACACATCTGAATGCAGTAAGATCATTCAATACCATCCATCCATCTAAAAAAAATCGTGGATGGAATCATGATCCTATCATCAAACTATGTTGGTATACCAACCACGACGACGCAAGGTGTGGTGTCTCACGGGAGCCACCCAGATAGCGCTGCTTTTTGCCATGACTTGCACCAGCTCTGACAGAGTCTCATTTCGCGCCAGGTCGAATGACCCCACAGTCTTCGAACATTTGATTCAGGTGAGGTCATGGGAACGGGAACACTCCTCCGACTCCTCCATTGCCAAAGTCCAGTACAAATAACCGGCATTTGGACAAATCCCCGGATACCGCTGGGCAGTAATGGAGGTGCCGCTGCAGGGCGCCCGCAAATATTGGTTTCATGTGTTTTCGATTTGGGGTCTATGCTGGCATAATTAACCGAGATGTCAGCACATCTCGTTCTGTAGAGCTCTCACCGTGTGCGTTGATGTGGGGAAGAACGCGTAGGAGAAGAACAAAGGAAGAGCTGGATGGGACTTCCTGCAGGAAGGAGGTGAAGGCCTGCAACAAAACCTTTGGTATCACACACACATATATATATATATATATATAATATATATATGGTAATTCTATATTATACATGTGGTTTTCCATCATCTCGATGCTGGTCATTCTACACTTTCAACTGTTCACAGTGAAAACCATAGAAGTGAAGTCTTGAAGACTGAGTGGTCCCATGCGTGAGGCCGTGAGTACTACCTCTTTTGCCGACATTGTTGCGAACGAGAGGCGAACGGAGCACTGTGCACCACAACCAATAAGCGGCTACGGTCATGGATGCAGATTCTGAGGTTGAACCAAGACCACTGGCACTCCACGCTCGGAAAGTGAAGGAAGACCGCGAACTGAAGCAGGCAGGTATTGGCGGTGTGCCATGGCCACCTTGGACGTCGCGTCGAGATCCAGCACGGCACGTGTCCCGTTTGTACGCCGGGGTTTGTTGGGATCGCTTTGTTGGTGGATGGCGCCTCCCACGAGGCCAATGCAAAAGCCAATGTGTTCACAGGATATCAAGGCGCGGCCACGTTCTTTGGGAAGAAGTTCACCGAGTGCAAAAAGGTGGGGTTTCCCCACCACAGACCGTTTCAAGGAGAGCCGCGGGAGCCGCGGATGTCTTGGCTCGAAAGGACATATTGAATAGGTCTGGCTTGATGAAACGTGCACTCACTGACAGTGAAGAGGATATGCCCCAAGTGGTGTTGTATGCTTAAATAACTGTTATGTCTTAATCCGTAAGGGTCAACGTTTTGACCCTTTTGCACTCAGACTAGCCAAACAGATCGTTCCAGCACTTGGAAGGAAAGATGCCTTTTGGCCATCCGCGGCCCCAAGATGAACGAGTCAAGATACAGCACCTTCACTCAGATTCTGGAGAAAGATCCGTGCTGGGCGTTGAATCGTTTGAGAGTCACCGAGGGTGTTGAGGGCTTAGGTCTGGAAGTGCTCCGAGCCTTTGCGCTCGGAGATGCGATCTATCGCTGCAAGGCGGCGAAGGTGCATAAGCACACCAGCAGGTGTGAAGAGGTGGAAGCTTTCTGCAAAGCATTGCCACATCCCTGCTTTTTGCCTCACTCCTGCTACTGTGCAGCCTTAAGCGAATTGGTGCCTGATACATCTGATACCGCTGAGGATTTTCGAGTTGATGTTGATTGTACCGCGGCATATGAGCAACTTCTCCCTTTGTGTCAGCCAAGTCACATTGCTAAGCGAGCACCTGGAATATCTCAGTCCGAAGCTGGCTTGCAAGATACAACTGCACTGAGCATTCTTCGGCACTTTTCGATTCCTGAAAGGCATCTTCCCCTTTTTACTGAACTCTCCCGAGTCTGGAAATACAATGCATTCAGTGTTGGTGATGCTAATGGCACGATGGCCATATTTCTACTGCCATCCTTATGCAACCACAGCTGTAGCCCTGCTTGCGACTACACCATCAACGTCCAAGAGGATGGTGTAGAATTCACACTCCTGGCATTGCACCACTTAGGCCCTGGGGATGCCTTGACCATCAGCTATATCGAAGAAAATGAAACCCACAAGAACAGTCGGCTGGTACGAAGGGACACACTGGCTGAGGGCTGGCTCTTCTACTGCCAATGTGTTGCCTGTGGACCACGCCATGAAGCAGGGCGGCCAAATGCATGTCCTAGCTGCCATGAAGATATGGGCGTGTGGATCAGCAATCTGCATGGAGGTCCCTATGAAGAAACTGGAGAGGCGCCCCAATGCGATGTGTGCGGTGAGGAAGATCTGGTGGTTTCTGGACCATACTACTTCCACTGCAGCTGCTGCGAGATGGACATGTGTCCAAAGTGCCAGGAGAAGGGTTTGTCGCCTGGCTGAGAGCAGCAGGCATCTAGGAATTCCAGGCCCAGAAGATATGGAAGCGCCGGCACGTGCGACGTTTGGCTTTCGCAATCAAGCGCGTGGAAAAGATTTGTAAGCTGCACTTGGATGTGATGCCCATGAAGTTGCCAAGCAAACCTGAACAGTGTTAACAAGCATTTTCTTCGCTCGGCAGGGACAGAAATACCCAAGAAGACGGAAAAGGATGCAAAATTCCAAATTGGAGAGCCTGGCACCTCAAAGCCTTGAGAGATGGAGAGAGGAAGAGAGAAAGGGACAGATCCGCACGCGCCTGAGACGAGTTGATAAGTGAACGTTGACCTGAGAAGTCTCAGGTTGATGGAAGTCATTGGTGTCAAAAGCAAACCAGATTACAACGGCCACAAGCTTAGTAGGCTAAGGCTGCGGCATAGTCATATGTTCTTGTAACTTAAACACCTCATGGTCGTTTGAGGCAAAATCGTTCGCGTGATGAAGTTCTACCCCGAGGCGGGCGGACGACAGGAAAACCTCGACGACACCGACACCCTCCCAGCTCCCACCCGTCAGGCCGATAGGTACGAAGTCAAGTTCGAAGGCGGCCGCTATGATACGGTGGTCCGGCCGTCTCAGCCGTTCGGCCGTTTTGACGGTCGTCCTTCCGTGGAAACATGTTAGGGCTGCGGTTGGGGTTCCAAGGTTGTGAAGCTGAAAGAAGAAAATTTGATGTATTCCGCCATGCGGGAGAAAGAGGTTCAAGAGCGGAAGGACACATGTGACTTCATGTGACCATGAGGGTTCGTTCTTCAACACCCCAATCTTTTTGAAGCCGTTCACTGTTCACGCAGGAGATGCCTGAGGGAGAAATCCCAAATGGGACCAAGGCAGCTGAAACATGTTCAGAAAACAGTCGCCGAAACCGCCCAAAAACTGCCAGCAGTGGCCTTCAGAGGTTGAAATCAGTGGCCTTCAAAGCGATGCGGCCAAGTGGATGAACGGTCAGAAGGCAGTTTTTTCTCACCTGACTCCCATGGGAAAGGTTGGACCCCAAAAATCAAGCATTGGAACGAACCAGCATGGAAGAATGAAACACAAAACTGGCTGGTGTGGGTGCTGCATGGAAGAAAAGCCTGAGTCCCCTGAGCCCACGATGCACCGTTTCCAGGCGATTGTCGTTTGCTGGGACAAGGACACCGAGCGGTATGAGGCCACGATGTGTAAGAGGGATGTGCGTCTCATTTGCGCGCCGGCTTAAGCTGCTACAGGTTCGTTTGAGCATCAACAATGATGTCAAGAAGGCTGGTGAACAACTTTTGGAATCTAAGGACCGTGCTTTCAAGATTTGTCTCACACGGCAATCATCAGAGTTTGGCATCATTACGCCTTGCGCGCAGGTGAAAGCAGCCAATTTGAGACTAGAAGTTCCAGAAGGATGGGAGGCCACCCTTAGCTGTTCAATTCACGACATGCCTTGAGGGCTTGGGTGTGAATGACCGTGGCAGGAGCACTGGGATGAGCATTTGGGATGGATTCTTAGCTTGTGGATGAACGCAGGCGTGACGACCCAAGTCATGCATGGAACACTGGCCGCATGGTCGACACTAAGGTCGACACTACTACGTCAACACAGAAGGTCACATGGAAGCATCCGACGGTGACCAACCAACGCGGGAAGTTCGGACAGGCGCTGGGCAGTTGGGTGGAGGAGGGACTGGGTGCCCCTTTGCCATCCTTTCCACATTGGAGAGTAAGAAACACATGGTGAGGCATTGGGAACCGGCTCGGGCTGTCGGATTCCAGGTTCCAAGTGGGTCTATCGACGCGTCACTTTCTATTTGCTCCTAGTAGCGTCCTTGCTCCTAGTAGTAGGGCCAGGAGCCCCTAGGCCCTAGTAGCTTCTTATTCCTAGTAGCGATGCTAGGAGCCCCTAATAGCGTCCTTGCTCTTAGTAGCTTCCTTGCTCCTAGTACTACGGCCAGGAGCCCATAGTAGC